GGATGTCCAGAACATCGGTCCTTGTGGGCAGCAGGTCTGCTATCCTGGTAGCTTTATAACAGTTTGTAAGACAGTGCTGGTTTGGCCCATTCAAGGTTACTTTGATGGTTCAAAATCCTTAATGTTCCCCGAGACAGATGTGCAAGGCAGTTTCTCTGGGATGGCAACTTAGACTCCCTTTTGCAGTGGCTCCATTTATAGCACGTTTCACATCAGCATTAAATTGTTACATAGCTACCCAGATGGTGGGTTGATGTTGAGAGATGAATGGAATTCTTTAAAACATTAAGATTATGTAGGTCATCAGCAAATTGTGTCCATATATTTTTTTGTTATTTGTACACTTTTTCTTTTTCTTCTTCTTTTTTTTTTTTTAATATATTTTTAATTATTTTTACAGAGAGGAAAGGAGAGGGATAGAAAGTCAGAAACACCGATGAGAGAGAATCATCGATCAGCTGCCTCTTGCATACCTCCCACTGGGGATGTGCCTGCAACCCAGGTACATGCCCTTGACCGGAATCGAACCCGGGACCTTTCAGTCCGCAGGCCGATGCTCTATCCACCTAGCCAAACCGGTTTCGGCTGTATACTTTTTCTTAATAATGAAATCAAACATAAAAATACTATACTAGTAATGTTAGAGAAACTCTAGTTGGGCCCTGGAGAATAATGTGTGAGTCAGGGATTCAGTTTTAGAAAGCAACATATACATGTAAACTTAATTTAAATATCATTTGAAACATGTGCTGGATCAAGATACACATCTTTCAGAAGCACGTGACTTTTTGAGTCTCCCATTTCCTTCCATAAACAGAATTATTATGCCTGTAATGGGCCAGGATACTCAAGCTTTGTTTCATGGTGCCATACTTGTTTTTGAAACTACTTGAGGATGTAAAATGAATTTGCAATTTATAGCTATTTACTTTCAGAATTCCTTTCACGAGCTTTTGTCTCTGAGGTTCCTCAGGAAAGTAAAATATTTTAACAGCATTATTTCCACTCTGCTATAGCTGAAATACGATATTTGTTTCTTGTGGTAGTGCCTATACTGCATATTTTGAATTTAAGTAAATAAATAGGCTTTTCAAAAGACCTAATTAAATCATGACTCTTGGTCAGACATTTCCAGATATTCACTAGAACTATTAATTCACCACATCATCTGATATTTAGTAGAGAAAAAAAAAATTATTTCATCAATAGAGTCTGATACTTATTAAAGAGTCTGAATTATAACTTTAGGAGATAGAACATTTCTAACTTTTAGACCATTTGTGTAATAGCTTTTAATGTATATTTGTTTCTTTGCTTTCCCTTGATTTCCAAATACCATTTCAAAAACTGAGAACAGAAAATAGCTCTTTTCCTACCTGAACTGCTGTACTAGAATAATGAAATTCCTTGTGCAATATAAAGCAGAACATGGTCAGATTAGAAGACTCAAAATCCTATCGAATGTTTCTGTTAAGACGGTACAATTACAATAAATACGATAGGTACTCCACGTGCACCTGAATATACAAGATAAATATAGGCAGTGTGTTAAACTCAGCAATTTCTAAATTAAAATGTGCTTTTAGGCATTCAATTTACAAAATGTTAAGATTGGCTAGGGAAATGCAGTACTAAATATAGCAAATGCCACTAAACATACATTTTGAAAGAGTATTTTTGCCTAAAACTGTTAGAAATTGTTGTCTTATGTATCTGCTGACATTGAAGGATAAAACATATTTAATTCTGATGAAACAAATGTAGAGAAGCTGTGGTTATTGTCATCTCTTGTCACACAGCCTTCTCTATTCCTGCACATGCTGAATGTATGTCCTTCCTAACATCTTTCTCAAGAGTTTTTAGCTGCCTATATAATAAATAAATTTCTAGTGGTTAACAACAGTAAAGGAAATATTTGTCTCATGTGTGTATATTTAAATTAAAATATAACTTTTGAAATCAACAGTTTTAATATTATACTTCAATGTCAAGACTTAATATACTTGACACACTATATCTATACTAATAATAAGGAATATGTAAATTGTCCAGGATGCCATCACAGTAGCAACTGAACAGCAGGCTGGGTGGGGTGACCAGGCCAGTGGGGGGCAGATAAGGGTGACCAAGCTGGTAGGGAGGGAATTTTGGAGCAACCAGGCTTGTGGGGGGGGGCAGTTGGGGGCAACCAGGCTGGCAGGGGGGCAGTTAGGGGCAGTTAGGGGTGATCAGGCAGGTAGGCAGGTGAGCAGTTAGGAAACCGGCAGTCGGACATCCCCCTAGGGTTGCCCCTCAGCCCAGCCTGTACCCCCGGATTAGAGAGGGTACAGGCTAGGCTGAGGGGCAAGCCTCCCCCCCTGTGCACAAATTTCATGCACTGGGCCTCTAGTTTACTTATAAGAAAATATTAAAAATAGGAATAAATGTAATTAACACTGTAATATCTTTAGCTGCTTCTCAAAGATTATTATTCGTTCTTCAGATGCATTAATTTAATTCTCACAACAGCCCTACGGGGTGTGGCCGAGAATATTATTATTCCAATAGTTCAGGCAAAGAAACGGGCTTATAGAGGTTGAGCAGTGGCCCAATGACACACCACTGGTAAGTAGTGGAGCAGAGATTCCACCTGAAAACCAGCTCCAGAGCATCACATCTCAACCAGTACATTTAAGAGACCTAAGTCAACCTGTTTATAATTTCAACAATATACAGATAAGTTTAAAACAGATTTTAAAATGCCGTGGAGTTAGTATCTTCTATCATCAAATCTAGATGGGTGCTTTTACTTTAATTCTCTTTAATTTCCTTATTTTAAAACCTACTCTTGAAACCTTACTTTAACCTCTGTGGCAGGCTGTTCCTCTGGGTTTCCCCCTGGGTCCTGCCCTCCTTCCTCAACTTCGCTGCTTCTCCTTCCCACTCTTTTTATTTATTTATTTTTAATTGAATTTATTGGGATGACATTGTGTAATAGGTTAAACAGGTTAACCTGTTATACAGGTTCGACTGTATAACTCAGCAAAACTTCTGCACACTGCATTGTGTGCCCATTGCCCAAAGTAAAATATTTTTCTCTCCCCATTTACCCGCTCCCCCGCCTTTGCCCTCTTTCCCCTCCCCTGCCCCCTTTCCCTCTGGCTATCACCACACTGTTGTCTGTGTCTATGTGTTTTATATACATATATATCTGCTCCTTCTTTCCACTCTTAAAACGACCTTACACAGCTGTTTATATTTAGTCCTTTCACTGCTGTTCCTTTATCTAACCTAATTAAATTCTCAACAGATCTGTGACTTTCACTGTCATGTACGCATATCGACCTGCAAGTATTTTTGCAGACCTTTTATCAACTCTTTGATTGATACATAACCATTTCTATGATGCTATCCTTCAGTCTCTTAACATGCCATATACCACTGCATAATTTTTCCTGCATCAAAGCAGATCTTACCCTGAAGTGTCTTTAGCAAGAGTAGTCTTTTAATTCCTAGCTAAAGTAATTTTGATATTATTTCCCTTTGCTTTCACTTGTACCCATCACATAATCTTGTTAACAGAAGGACATGAGCCTGTGGGAATGCTGAACAACTGAGAGTATTATTACTTTTATTTCTATATCCAATAACTTATCAGATATCACTGATTTGTCCCTTGTATTATGCCACATGATGACTTAGAGTCTGAGTTCTAGAGCAAGAGGCCAGGGTTTAAATTCCTGTCTCAGACACTTTATCATCAAAATGGGGATAATAATAGTCCATATCTAAGGCCATTGCCTTTGAGGATTAAGTCATTTCATGCCCATAAAGCGATATGCACAGAGCAGTGCTTAGCAAGTAATAAACACTTAATGAATGTGCTCTTTTTCTCAACTTTCCATTCCTTCTGCCAACTTCCTAGTTCATACTTCAAAGTTTCTGAGGGCCATGGTTCAAAAACCTGGGAGAACCCAAGCAATCATCCCTGCTTTCATTTTACAGAAATGGGACTTGGGACCTGCAAAGAATACAGAGTGCATGGCATGCAGTTTTGCTTTGAGGAAATGAAGCTCCAGTCTTTAGGGCTCAAACTCCTCACTGTCTCCCTGCGTGGCCTCCCCCAGCTCTTGTCCATTCTACTCTATCGATCGCCTTAAGGACTGTTTCCAACTCAAACAAGCTCAGTGGTTTCTTGGCCATATAATTCAAGCTAATATGTGCTATGATTGTGATTCTCCAATATAGACCCATAACCTAGTATTTTACTCGACTTTCTTCTTTTGTTCTACATTAACCTTTTCGATACAACTAACCTGCTCAATGGTAACTACACCAAGCACATCCTTCTTCCCTTTGCGCTTTTGCTCATATTCAAACACTTTCTCGTGTTCTTTGCTTAAAAAAACAAAAAAACAAAACTACATTTCTTCAAAATCCAGTCCAGATCTGCACATTTACCATTATATCTTTCCTAATAAATCAACTCAAAATAATCTCTATTCTCTTTGGTTCTGATGGTGCTTTTTGCAAGCCTCATTTAGATAACTTTTCCTGCTAAATGAGAAGGAACACAGAGCTCAGTCAGGCAGACTTGGGTTTGAAACCTTCACTGGCACCTATGTGTAACGATGTGTAAGTTAGCTCATGTCTCGGAACCCATATCTTCCTTTGAGAACTCATACCTCGTAGCCTTGTAACAGGGCCTGGCAAAGGGCAAGCCTTTAGCACACCGTCTATGGTGACAGCTTTACTCCTTCCCCTGTGTATATTTTATGAATTAAAAAATATATATATATAATTAATCCTGAAGGCTGAGATTTTCTGTATTACTTAATGGAGTGAATGGTGAAAGCCTGGCTAGGTGACCTACTACACTAGCCTGTACCTTTTGAAATCTCATAGCGTCCTATGAAATTAAGTCCAGAGCCTCTCACTGTCAAATACATACTCAGCCTAAGGAGTGGGGTGCCCTCACTGTTCCACTTCTGACAGTTCAGATGCCGGTTTTTCTTTCTTAGGGTGCAAATGCTCTCGTCACATACACCATCATTAGTGGAGCTGATGACAGTTTCCGCATTGACCCTGAATCTGGAGATCTGATAGCAACTAGGAGGTTGGACAGAGAACGCCGTTCCAAATACTCCTTGCTGGTCCGTGCAGATGATGGTCTCCAGTCCTCAGATATGAGAATCAACATCACCGTCAGTGATGTGAATGACCACTCGCCCAAGTTCTCCAGGCCTGTGTACTCTTTCGACATCCCAGAAGACACAACCCCAGGTAGGGAGGGGCGTGCATGCCCTTAGGTGTATTTTGCAAGGATCACATTTGACTCCAGTTATGGACTGTGTTTTAACTGCCCTTCATTAGTGACTAGTTTTTATCATATGCTACTAGGTATAAAAATATATTTGCTGGACTTTCAATTTTTTTTTAATTAGCCATCTTGGCTATAATTCCTAAGCAGATTTCTAGACTTTTCAAAGCCAGTGATATTAGTCCTTCATCTGATTACTAGTTACAGATATTTCTGTTTCTGAAAGTACTTGTAGCATGGGTTGTTAATTTTTCTGGCAACCGCACTTTTGATTTTGTTTTTCCACTTCAGAAATGTCAATTGTGATTATGCTGCTATGTATAGAAAAAACAAAGAAAAAGCCTAAGGAAACCTGTGAAAAGTGGCTCTAACCCTTGCTAGTTATGTGACCCAGGGCAAGTTAATTCATTTCTCTAAGCTTCAATTCCTCCTGCTATAAAATGAAAAGAGTAGCTCCCATTAGAAGTAGGGTGAAGGTTAATTTAGAATGTACATGTGAGTTTCCTAAAGCGGTGCTTGAGAAGTAGCAGGTGCTCAATAAATATGCGTAGAATAAGAATCCTGAATTATTGTCTTGCCTCATGGAACATATGATGCTGTGATTGTTGAGTTTGAGTATGCAGCATCTATGTGTTTTTGTTTCATTCCCATTATTGGGAATTCTTACCTAAAATTGAAATTTTATTCTAAATCACATTTTAGAATGTGTTTTCCTAATAAGGCATATTTTTTGGAAACTCATTTGACAAGGAAAGAAGCATTTATAGAAGATTCTTAACTTTCTCACTGCAGTTTTCCCCTCACTCCCCAAGATGAGCCTGTTCTTCATGAAGTTCCCATCACATTTATTCCTTGCTTAATTATAGCAATGGCCATGTGAGCTGTCAAGTGGTACCTCCTTGGCATAAGTCTGTATTATTTCTTGGAATGCCCAGTCCTGACACGAGCAATGACCCCCATCCATGTCCCCTAAATTCATCAAAATGTGGTTATGAATTGGTAGTGCCAGATAGCAAAATAATGTCAGAAATGGTATTAGTACCAGAATACTTTTTAAAAAATTATCTTTTTGTTGAAAGTATTACAGATGTCAGCTATCCCCCCCCATTAACCCCCCCCCCCCCCATTCTGCACCTGCCCTTCTCAGGCCTCTAGTACACTATTGTCTGTGTCCATGAATACCCAGAATATTTACACTGCAACATAGGAGCTACTGGATATTGAATAGTCGATATGTTAATATTTGGGAATGTTGATATCAGTGTTAACATAGAAATCAGCTGGATATTGTGTTCATTATGTTTTTTTTTTTGTTTTTGTTTTTTTTTAATATATTTTATTGATTTTGTACAGAGAGGAAGGGAGAGAGATAGAGAATTAGAAACATCGATGAGAGAGAGTCATCGATCAGCTGCCTCTTGCACACCCCCCACTGGGGATATGCCCGCAACCAAGGTACATGCCCTTGACCGGAATCGAACCCGGGACCTTTCAGTCCCCAAGCTAACGCTCTATCCACTGAGCCAAACCGGTTTCGGCTCATTATGTTTTAATAGTGATTCTCTATTTAAAATATTCCATTGTACAAATAATTTTTTGGTGTTGTGTGTGTATGCACTTAGTAATATACATGCCCCATTAATTTGGACTATTGATTTATTCTTTTTGATAGGTTCTTTGGTAGCAGCTATTTTAGCTACAGATGATGACTCTGGTGTGAATGGAGAAATTACATATAGTGTGAATGAAGATGATGAAGATGGCATATTTTTCCTGAATCCAGTTACCGGAGTCTTTAATTTGACTCGAATATTAGATTATGAAGCACAGCAATATTATATCCTCACTGTTCGAGCTGAAGATGGTGGGGGACAATTTACTACCATCAGGGTTTATTTCAATATACTAGATGTAAATGACAACCAACCTATTTTCAGCTCGAGTTCATATAGCACATCTTTAATGGAGAATCTACCTCTAGGATCTACTGTTCTTGTGTTTAATGTTACCGACGCAGATGACGGTACGTACTTTGTTTTATATACTTTAAAAACTTTATTAAAATGTTATTGGATTTATTTTATCTTTATTTACATTTTTCAGCTGTCACAAAATTGCATTTTGTGAATATAGGTCTAAAGTTAAGAAATAAATCTATAATTTAGCTATAGTTAAGTAATTATCAGTTAACTTCTTATTTATGATAGCTAATTGCTTTATAAGCTTTATCATCTTTATCTTCCCCACACCCCCAAAAAGTGTGAGAGTATTGCAGTTTAGTAACATAGAAATCATAAAACAACTTTTTGGTAGATTTTTGTCAGATAAATAAAAATAGTTACTTACATATAGTATTATGTTAATATAAAAAGAATAAAATTTGGAAGCAAAAGTAAAACCAAAGTCTTCAAAAAATACTTAGGAATGTATATATTTGTATTTATAACTGAAAACTGCTAACTAATAATATTTTGGCAAGCTTTCATGCTTTGATTCAAAGGATAGTCTCAGAGCTCTTAGGCTATAAAATCAAGTTGAGATTTTTCTTCATTAAATCTAGGCTTTCCATGTATTTGATTTTTACTCATTACAAAAGCATTTGATAAACTTTAAAAAAACAACAACAACAACACATATGACTCCCCTGGCCTTCCTTCTAAGGCCTGCTTTGTAAGGACACATATCAGATAACTTATTGTTAGTGATAACATTGTGCAGGTTATCAGTCATTAGCTAACTGCTGGGAAAGTGGCTACCTTCTTTTCCCTGCATTGGATGCAGCTCAGTGTCCAGTCAATAGGGAAAACAAGGGGCAGTCCTAGCCCGAGGATCTGCTTAGAGACGCAGGCATATCAATCTTAATTTAGAATTTCCCAATTCTCCCTAACTTGATTTATGGCAATTGCAGAATATCACTGTGTTTCAGCCTTCTGCTCTATACTTAGTTCCCTTTCAGGAGTATCTAGAAATGTCCCTGACAGAGATGTGTGGGGTAAAAAGTATCAGTTTTTTATGTATTTTATATGTTTCAATTAAAAAAAATTTGAAAATGCTTTCTTTAAAATTTTTTGAAGTCCTTTTTAAAGTTTTCTCCTCTTATTCAAGCACAATGAATATTGGACACATGATTACATCTAAGATGGAAAATAAAAGATGGAAAGTTAAAAAAAAGAAAGAAATGATAGAAGTAGCTGTAGTACTAGTACCACTACTACTACCAATAATACAAACCATAGCCAGCGTTTGCCGAGTTCAGTGCTAAGTTTGCACAGGTCTTGGCCTAGGAACGCTGCGGACTCTGTTTCCTTCCTGTACATCAGCCCCACTCTGTGGATTGGCTCCAAATAGACATTTATAAACAAGTGAGGTTAGTCTCTATTTTAGAAGTTGATCTCTCTAGGATAGCCTTAATTAGTTTACCTGCTTCCTGGATCGGAATGTTTTCTTAAATGTCCTTGTGGCTGACTGGCCCATTCTGTTCTGCAGTGAAGAATTTTGTGCCATGCCTTCTTTGTGACTTATTTCTTACGTGTTTGGGAGGCCCCATTGTTTCATAGGATTGGGTGCTCTTCTGGGATACAGTTCATTTATCCTCATGCCTTAAAATGTAGGGAACTGGCTCAGTGGATAGAGCATCAGCCTGCAGACTGAACGGTACCAGGTTCAGTTCCGGTCAAGGGCATGTACATTGGTTGCAGCCACATCCCCAGTGGGGATATGCAGAAGATAGTTGGTTAATGTTTCTCTCTCATTGATGTTTCTCTCTATCCCTCTTCCTTCCTCTCTGTAAAAAAAAATCAATAAAATATATATTTTTAAAATGTAGGGAACTGGGAAAATAACAAAGAAGAAACTTTCTTTGTGAAAATATGCTGGGATAGTCCCTGCGCATGTACGCACAGACATTCATTAACCATTGACTTCAAGTTGCTTTTCATAGATTCCCCCGCCACCCCCCCCTTTAATTGTGTTGGATTAAAAAAAAATTCAAGCTACAGTTCCCCATTGTTTTAGTTTTGAATACTTTTATCAGCGTAATTTCCTGTACCTTGACCTAAAATATAGGACACAGTTCCTATTCTCTCTGAATTTCAAGGATAATGATAAGACTGTACAAGAGTAACCTTGTTTGTTTAAAATTGCCTACTCAGTTACATTAAATAGTTCTCAAAGTATTTTGCAAACAGTGTTGTTTAGACTTTCTAAAATTAATGAATTTATCTTACCCTCTGTCAAAGTGTTCCTGAGGAGGTAATATTGTCACTTTCTTAGATGAATACATTTTATATGATAATAAATATAAAGTATTTTGTTATCATTATCTAAATTCTCCATGAGATTAACCTAAAATTTTTGGTTACATGATCATTTAATAAAAATAAAGCAAACATTTTACTGTTTTCACAAGATAATTAGAGTATGTACTGATCTCAAGGCTTCCTTGCGCTCAGTTTAAGAAGTACTATTTTGAGTCAAACTATTATCAACTGAAGCTTTATGGAAATATGATGGCTTTGATAATTCTTTATTACTTTAGGAATAAGTCTTATAGTCTTTACAATCTTTGGGAGTCATAGGCTATTTTGAGAATAAAATGATTGTAAATATTGCCTAATAAACTCACCTCTAGATGTATGCTACACAGTGGAGATCATTTGACCTGTGGATGGTTTTCATATTGTGAATAAGTGTGCACACTTTACAACAGAACTACATATCTATAGTTATGTGCTACGTTTTCTGGAACTAAGTTATTCATGAGACCGAAATGAAAAATACCCCCCCCCCCCGCCCAAATGCAATACAACCACACATACACAATAAAACTGCCAGAAAGAATCATGTAGCTAAACCACTTTCAGAATATTGAACACAAATGTTAGAAATTTGGACTGTTTTAAATTTGAGGACCTGGTGGGCTGTAAAAGCCCACTAGATTCAAGTCTCCTTGCTTTGGATAAATTGTAGAATTTAAAATAATGTCGTTATTGTTTTATGATTCTAATATTTGATACAAAGAGCAGAGAGAGAGAGAGAGAAATGTCTGGGCTCTTTTCGGATGCTGCAAGTGTTCAGGGAGAGTTTTGAGTTTCCATATGTCCACGTGAATTCTGTGGATGGAGAGCACATGCCAGTGTCATGGAGACTTGTCCAGAGTGGAAAGGCCTTTTCTTTTCAGCGAAGTCAATGGAGAGGCCTCCCTGGGCTGATGGAGGCAGCGAGGGTCCCGACTGGGAGCTGAGACCTGCTGCTTAGATGGTGCTGCCATATTGTGTGCAGCAGTTGTTATATCGTTCTATTTTTTCCTCAAAGATAATGATAATTGTCCTCAGTTTATTTTTAATAGTACCACCTAATATGTTTGTCACGATGAATTTAACTATGTAGTCAAATTTTTCTTTTTCATAATTCTATTTGAAGTTAAACTGACTCCACCAACCTCCCCCACCAAACTCTTTCCCTAAAAAAGAGGCTGTTCTGCTATTTGCTGCTTGGCTATATGAGCTCAGTATTAGGCTCTCTGGTTGCCTCTGGTTTACTCATATACAGTGGATGTCCCACTTGGTTTGTTTCATGTAGATCTGCTAGGCCATCACTTTGTGGCCATGTGCCATTTTGTTGGTATTTTTCATTTCTTTTGACCTTGGACATGCAAGATTTTATAGGCTTGCATAGAACTAAATTTTATATCTCTGCTTGTTGGTATTATTTTTATCCAGATGGTTTCACAACTTTTTCTTGATATAATTGTGCCTCAACGAATAAGAATTCAGTATTCACTGATTGATTTAGCTATAGGAAATGCAAAAACATTATCTTAGAGAGTGATCAGATTTAAAATATATATTAAATATATACATATATTATATATAAAATACATATTAATATTAAATCAAATTAATTTTAATTATTCTTATATATATCCTTAGAAAGTAATTAGGGGGGATCCTGCCATGACCTGCGTTTCGGGGTTCAGGATCTGAAGGAGGGGCTGATGCACAAATGAAAATGCTATACAAGAAATATGAATTAAAAAAAAAAAGAAATATGAATTTAGAAGGCATTGGGGACCAGGGGGTGTCTCTTTCGTGAAGAGCATACTGACATCTGACCCGGTTCGCTTTTTATTTATTTGAATACACATTTTCCCTTTAGCAAAATGGATACAGGCATATCAAAGGTAAAGTTTGGTAAACAGTAAAATGATTATCAGGTTAGGGAATTTCCTTGAGCCACCGCTATATCCACACTCTTAGTGTCAGCCCTGATAACCTCAAGGTCCATAGGCTTTCTGCATTCCTTGGTGCACTGACAGTATTGGCAAGTGGTGCTTCCCATAGGACTTTCTGTCATGGTGCTTTTCTCCCCCCATCCCTGTGGAATTCTAAGTTGACAAGTTGAAGTAGCTGTTGACCTTGTTCTGCTCAGATCTTAAAATTCTCTTTACCTCCTGCTGTTGAATTGACTGGCCTCCCATTAGTTTTATTTATTCATATTTTTCCTGGTCCTCAGAGTTTTAAGTGTTCTGAACTTTATAACCTCTGCTTTGTTCACTTGTGAGTAGTCATAAACTATAAAGATTAAAAGCCACAACTCACAGAGAGGAGGAGAATTTACCTTTTCAAAGATCTACTCAACCCTTGTTTATATTAGACATTTTTGTGAAAAAGCCAGTGCCTGAAAGTTTCTTCATAAATATTTGTTCTCTGCATCAATATATAGACAAAACACATTGGATAGAGACCATAAAACCACCAGAAAAGTGTAATTTTAACATTTTTTACCCAAAAGCAGGCAGATCCTACTAGGTAGAAAAACGAACAAACAAAAAACACAAAACTATTATTCAACTAAACTTCCCTTTGTGAGCATCTTGATGAGTTTTAAGAAAAGGCAAAAAGGTCACTCCAGTATTCATACAATCCTGAGAAAGTATTTTTTCAAAGGACAAAAAAGAGAAAAAATTGTTCTAGAAGACTGTTGGCAAACAATGAATATCATTTCTGACACCTGAATAGTTGACATTAATTTTAGAAATACAGGAGCTATTTGTAAGCAATTTATTAACTCAATAAAATTTCCCTGGTATAAAATCCCAGGATATAAAATCTTTATTCAGGATGGGTTATCTAGGTACACAATATATTTCTCAGTAAGTCTTTTAATACCCTACAATATCCCAATATCTTTATGATAAAATATGAAAATGTAAAAGGCATGCTGGGTCAATGAAGAAAACACTACTCTGGGTTAGGAAGTCTTATATTTCTTTGTTTTCACTGCTTACCTGTTATTTACCTGTCAATGACTTACTAAAACAAGAGCTCAGTCCATTCTCCACATCATCTTTTTTAGAAGGATGTCAGCAATCAGTGTCTTAAATGAGGATTTACATATAGTTTTTAAATCTCATCTTTATTATTAAAAGTATTTATCATTTTTAATTAAAAAGTAACTCATGTTTCTAGGAAAAATAGATAAAATACTATGTAAATACGGCCCAATAATATCATGAGCATTTTTATGTGTAGCCTTTCATGTATAATTTTATTGCTGACATTTCCTTTAAATAATATTTTTAAAACACATTAATTGTACATAGTAATAAAATTTGAAAGAGAATTATTTTCACAAAGGCCATTAGCCAGGTGCCTAATAGGAATTAAAAAGTATTTATTGGTCTGACAAGAAATGTAAAAGTAGACTCAAAGCATCCATGACTAATGCCATACATTAGAACATTTTATTACCCTCCTCTGAAAATTGGTGTCGGCCTCCATAAATTACTGAAGTTATAAATTTTGGGCTAATAATATAGAGTGTGGCACCATTAATGTTCAACCCTCAGGAATTATGTGACAGAAATGAGGAAATGTATAGAAAAAATATACACTCTCTGAAACATTTTTTCTCTCTTTACTTGTGTAATTTAACATTTCAACACCGTAGTAAATAGCAAACAGTATATATATCATTTGTTCACCAGGCTGTAAACATCTTTTCAGATCAAATGTTAACAGGAAAAGAATCATGCAATATGTATTACTGACAAAGAAAATTAACTGCAGCTAAATCATCTATAAGGCGTGTTTGGAGGCATCATATGTCACTAATATGCAGTTTCATTGTATAAAAAATTTGGTTGCAGCTCAGTTGGCAATCAGCACACATGAGAGAACAGTTAATTTTTCCCCCCTTTCATTTCAGGCATCAACTCCCAGTTGGCGTATAGCATTGCTTCAGGTGACAGCCTCGGGCAGTTTACAGTTGACCAGAACGGTGTGCTGACCGTCCTCAAAGCGTTGGACCGGGAAAGCCAGTCCTTTTACAACCTGGTCGTCCAGGTGCACGACCTGCCGCCTCTCCCGGCCTCCAGGTTCACCAGCACCGCTCAGGTCTCCATTATTCTGCTGGATGTGAACGACAACCCACCGGCATTTCTTTCCCCCAGACTGACGTACATTCCGGAGAACACGCCCATCGATACCGTTGTTTTCAAAGCTCAGGCAACGGACCCGGACAGCGGCCCCAACAGCTACATTGAGTACACCCTGCTGAACCCCTTGGGGAACAAGTTCAGCATCGGGACCATCGATGGGGAAGTGAGGCTCACTGGCGAGCTGGACCGGGAAGAAGCTTCTAATTATACGCTAACGGTGGTGGCCACGGACAAGGGCCACCCGCCCCTCTCCTCGTCCTCAGAGGTCACGGTGATGGTGCTGGACATCAATGACAACAACCCCGTCTTTGCGCAGGCTCTGTATAAAGTGGAGATTAATGAGAACACACTCACAGGAACAGATATAATACAGGTACATGCCGCAGATGGAGATGAAGGCACGAACGGACAGGTTCGCTATGGCATCGTGGATGGCAATGCCAATCAGGAATTTCGGATCGACTCTGTCACAGGAGCCATCACTGTGGCTAAGCCGCTGGATAGAGAGAAGACCCCTACGTACTCTCTAACTATTCAGGCAGCAGATCGGGGCAGCACCCCTAGAACAGATACCTCCACGGTCAGCATCGTGCTGTTGGATAGCAATGATTTTGTCCCCGTATTTGAGCTATCTCCATACTCCATACATGTCCCTGAGAACTTAGGGACACTACCCAGAACAATCCTTCAGGTGAGTATAGTTAAACAAATACTGTTCTCTATAAGACATCTAAGTTAATGATAACATTCATACAACCCCTCTCTCTTCCTCGTTCTCATCCGTAAGTGCTTAATTGCAGATATAGCAAATCTTGAAAGGTTTATGAAAATTATACCTATTGACCTCCTGGTAGAATGAATATTACATTCCAATCCCGTTCGTTCTTCTATCAATATGTATATTCATGTTGTACACATTTGGGTATTTGAGCATCTCTGAATTTTCACTATAGCAGGAATTTCTGCATATATTGTAGTAAGAAAATGCAATGATATAAACGTTTGAAAACTTGGTTGCAAACATGGTTCTGCCTTTCCTCTTTACAAATGCAACTACCGAGGTGGAATTGCTGTTAAAATTTCTTTAAAAGCCTTCCAAAAATGCTATGAATTGATTTAATGCCTGTTTTTACACCAATAATAAATACTACTCTGTATCATTTGAATTTTTTACTTAAAACTTTACCTTTGAAACCTTTTATTATTTATATGTATCAGCCATTTTCAACTGGTGTGTCACAAGAATTTTTAATACATGAAGTAGCTGGCTATTTAGTCAGGGGCACTGACTTCATTTTCCTTAGATTGTCAAAAAAAAAAAAAAAAATGACAACAGCCAACTCAGCAATAACCATCCGATGTGAATTAATCAACATTATACCTCAGTTGTTTTTTTGTCAGATCAGCAAAAAACTGTATTTTTTTTGTGTGTGTGCCACAGAATTTTAGTAATTAGTTGATGTGTGCCATGAGAGGAAAAAGGTTAAAAGTCGCTGGTACATAGGATTCTGTCTCATTAGCTTCATGCTACATTTTATTTGGTGATGTGCATTGTGTTAGATTTACTGACAACCGTGGCATGTATTTTGCCCTCCTCCAGGTGGTGGCGAGAGATGATGACCAAGGTTCTAACAGCAAACTCTCCTACGTCCTGTTTGGTGGCAATGAAGACAGTGCCTTCACTCTCTCAGACAGCGGGGAGCTCCGAGTGACACAGAGTTTGGACCGTGAGACCAAGGAGCATTTTGTGTTGACGGTCACAGCTACAGATTCGGGTAAGTGTGTTTTGACCTTGATTGGGTGTAAAGAATTGCTTCATAAAAGGAGGAGTAAAAGAAAGTATTTGTGTCTAGCATTATGTTCCATATTTGTTGAAATTTACTAATGCTTGGAACTTCAATCGCAGCTATACAATTTATAGCACATTTATCACTTTTGGAAATTAAATATAAGTAGGCGGGCTTAAGCACATCACAAACAAAGCTCTGTTCCTGAAAGGCACAATGTGTTCTTGCTGAGTGCCACTGGGGGTGCCCGGATACTCTGCCACTTGAGCCATGAGGCATTTCAAGCACCGGGGCTTTGAAGGCAGCCACAGGGTTCTGACTGGTTATGGAGATAAGAAAGCGGGGGCAGAGTTCTATTTCATTGGTCCTTAGGCTCCGCACATCTCTAAGGAGCTGAATGAGACATGTGATGAAGCCCCACCGAGCTCCAGAGTATCAGTGAGAGCCCAGGTTGTAATGACAACACAAAAGGGACATTTCATTAGGAAAAGGAAAAGAAGGGAAGAAAACTTGAAGTCCTAGAGCTAAAAAACATTCTCTTGTGATAGACAGGGATGGGTCAGTCTGTTAGGAGAAAGTTCACAAGGAGATTCCACAAAGCATCGGTCTCAACGTGCAGACTGTGCAAGAGCCCAGGCCTGCTTCAGGGAGCAAACCAACTTCCCGAGGCCATCAATCAGCCTTGGTCCCAAGGAAAACCGGGGGCCTGGACATTTTACTAGAAGGATAAATGATGGGAGTACAACTCTAACTTCTGTGAAGGACCATTGCCATTAATGTGAAGACCAAGTTTGTACAGATTCTGCCCCATATTGAGATAGGAGAGTTATGAGTTATGGATAGTGACAATTTAGATTATCAGTAACACAAAGGTATTAGAAGTTTGTCACACTTAGATATGGTGCCAAGGAACATGAGTGAGATTCTGTGGCACTGGGTAGGTCACAGTATTTTGGCAGCCCTGGGTATTAGAGCATTGTTGAACTTTGTCTCAAAGCACAGATTTTTATTAGTGCTCTTTTTTTTTTGAGTTGCTCTGAAATGGACTGGTGTTTCTGAGGCCACTGGGGTAAAATATTCAGTTAGATATCTGAATATCACTGAATATGGATCATGTGGAAAGCAACCAGAAATTATGAGGGGAGTTGGCCTAGATGATCTTAGAGTCATGAAAACTCCTATGTGACCATGGTTTTATGTTCATTTCCATTGCATACCTTACGTAGCATAAATAACCACTTTATGGGATGCTGTGAGAGTGTCAGATACCAGGCTTCAGAATCTGCAGTTTCATCTTATATTCCAGAATGAAGTCTCTGACACAGGATGTAAAATACATATTCCCTGCTATGATTTAAAAGTCAAAGTGGTCGATGACATGAGAAAATTCAGACAAAAATATGGCAGCTTTTAGATTCCAGATGCCACGTTATTCTCAAGTTGGCAGTGTTCTAAGAACCAGGCAGATATCAACGTGCTCTAAACAAAAAAGGTTGGCAGTTTTATTCCTTAGCTCACAAATCACTTTTCCTTTGCTCTTTTGAAATTCTTACCTGGTGTCAGAGATGGCTCAGCTTTGCTGATACAGCAGAAACTAAAGCAGGAGCTTCTTTTATTTTTTATCAGCAAACCTCTAAATCTTTGAATATTTTTTAGGAAAAAATATCAGCGTTGCACTATCATCATATTATTATTTACTGACTCCGTGGCTCCAGAGTAGCACATCTGGAAACTCTTTAGCTACTCCTGACTACGGCTTCCAATGAGCTACGACCACACTATCCTGTGCGTGTGGGACTGAAGGTTGCCTTGCTAAATAACCAAGTCAGAAAAGAGCATAATTCTACCATGTTTTTTTTTTTTTTTCCATGTAGGATTAAATTACTAAGCAGCAACTTAATGAGTTGAAACTACAGCTCAATTAGAGCTATTTTGGTTAACTAGTTTAAAGTATGGATCATCTGCCATTATTCTATATTACTTACTGTTATTTCTTCCAGAAATATAGAGGGTACCAAGCAGAAATTCCTAGGAGTTAAAGCTTCAACCTGGTGCAGTAAGGCAGGTACTGCAAATGATCCAGCTCTCGGTTCCTTGTCAGGGAAGCTGGCACTGATTGCTAGTGGTTTGGCATTCTGTTCAAGAAGCCTCCTCACAAGGCTGTTTCTCATCGTGTTCTCATGTGTGCAATAAATAAGATAGTGTTTCTAGTAGAGTACGTTGCAGGGAATAATCAGGAACCCAGAGCAGTTTACTTTATAAAAAAGTAATTCAGAGAATTAATTTACAAAATGGAAGTGTGTCCTAGAAGTAAATACATAGGTTTATAGTTTTTTGTGTTTTTTTTTTTTTTTTTAAAGGTTGGTTTCAAATCCCACCTTTACCATTTCTAGCTACATGACAATGGACAAATTTCCTTCACATTCCTATCTATAGAATGGAAATACCAATTCCTGCTTGAAAAAGTATATTGGCAGGAGTAAATAAGGCAATGACTTATTGCAGTTATTAATAGCAGTCAATATGTCTGCTGGACGAGTGAAACTTAGAAAGTAAAACTTTTGGACTTCTATCCACCTCCCTAATCTGCATAAATAACCTCTGTCTACGATTTTGGGTGTTTCTGGAAATTCAGGTTTGAACAAGTTGCTAAAGGCAAACCTTTTGATCATATGCATTCCTCTTTCTCTGTACCCTACATTCAGCAAATCCTTTTACAAGTAGACTGTGCTTCCAACCATATAAAAGGATTCCGGAGCATATCTGCTTTTCCTTTCTACCACTGCCACTGGAATCTAAGCCTGGACTAATGCAATAACCTTCTAACTGCCTCCCCCACCCCACCCCACCCCCACCCAGGCCTTCTCCAGCAAGCAGTTCCAGAGCTTTGAAACTATAAATTAGATCATCATCCCCCATGACTTGCTTAAAAACCCTTAGGAGGTTTCAAATAATAAAACCTAAATTTATTAGCAGTGACTACAGGGCACCAAATGACCTGGCCTCTGTACTCCTCTGGCCTATTTATTTATTTAAAATATATTTTATTGATTTTTTACAGAGAGGAAAAGAGAGGGCTAGAGAGTTAGAAACATCGATGATAGAGAAACATCGATCAGCTGCCTCTTGCACACCCCCTACTGGGGATGTGCCCGCAACTAAGGTACATGCCCTTGACCAGAATCGAACCTGGGACCTTTCACTCCACAGGCGGACACTCTTTCTACTGATCCAAACCGGTTTTGACTCCTCTGGCCTCTTTAGAAATGCCAACCTTCCCTGCTTGTGGCCCTTTGCACCTGTCGTTGTGTGCTTTACTCTATGGCCAGCTGTTTTGTTATTTTAAGGGGAGACATTCATAACTTGGTTGTCATTGTATTTAAGTAAAATATCTTCTTCTCTGAGAGGACTTATTTACTATCACTCTAATGGTCCCTCTCTCTCTGATGTCTCTTTCCATCGCTTTACCTTGTGATTTCTTCCTAACACTAATTGCTACCTAAAATGTATGCTTATATACAATAGGATATAACATATGTATAATTTTTTTCACTGCATCAATATTTAGCATCCTTGCAATAGAATGTGAAACTCCTGACTTGTTCAAACCTGAATTTCCAGAAACACCCAAAAGAGACCCTGCACCATAGCAGGACCTTAATAAACATTGGTTGAATGAGTGAGTGGTTCAATGAGTGCGAAATGATGATAATTATTTATCAATTAATCACCATCCTGTTATTTCTACTTGCAACTGTTATTTCATATTAATTTACCATACTTGTATTTAGTTTATGGTTATATAGTCATCGCTGGCAGATTTTTCAAAGGACCTACCAAAAGGAAAAAATGCCAATCTTTTAAAAACTCACTGCTGAAATACCACAAGTTTTTGCTACATTGGTTGTGGTCATCCAAACTGACCTCTGCTTTGAAAAGCAGCTCAAGTGTTTAAGGCTCTGCGGTGGTTAGTACGATGTGATAAATTGCAGTCATATGTAAGGACCCATTGAAGCGTTTTATGGCTTTAATTCCGTTTCAAGTGCTTAAAGTACTGTTTGGGCTGCATTCTCACGACTCTCCCCTGCACCTTTGGCTCTTACTCAATTCCATTCTCTATTAGGCATTTCTAGGTAAATCTTGTCTCCATTGTGTGTTGCGCTGCTTTCCTCCCATATCTACCAAATACCCAAGCACCATTTAGCTATCAGAAATATGCCCTCTATGTGCTTTTGGCTTCACATAGCTTACATGTAAGGGCCTAAGATACTTTACATAAGCACAATAAGAAAAGTTTTACTTGTGTTGATTTTTGTTATGCAAATTTGGTGTCTAAGAAAGTATTTCAATACTTTCAATACATAGACATCTATACAAGTAATTATTCTTGGTCTCTTAGGAAAATATATATATTTTTTTAACTTAAGATAATCCTATGCCCTCACCAGTGAATGCAAAATCTGTGAGCCATTAATATCTGCCACTGTTCTTTCAGGGAACTGAACGACGAGGGCAGAAAGCAGAAAAGCAAGCTGATAGGACAATGGAGGATGTTACGGTTATAATTCAGCGTGTAACACAGAGCCATTTTTAAAGAGAAGTACATATGAACAAAATTACAAGTTAGAGAAATCTGACATAAAATGATGATTTTATAACCAGAAGACTTCTTGGCCATAAGCCAGTTCATTTCCTTTATTTTGCAGATAAGGGGATGGAGGCCTGGGATAATTAGGCCGTTTGCCAGAGCTTGCAGCCCCGGAGAGTGGCAGAGGCAGAACGGGGCCCGGGAGTTCTGCCTCGCGGCTGTTCTCCCTTCCCTGCGCTGTGTTCCACACCGGGGTCTGCTGATTCTCTGCGTAGAGCACATTTCTAAAAGCACAGTTTCAAGAGACCCTTTTTCTTATTGCTGTTCCTGGTGCCTTAATGAATAAAACATTCAAATTATTTTTCTTCCCTCAAATGAATAAACACTTCAAAATATTTTT